TGAGAAGATATGCCTCTAGGTAACGACTAGAAGCAAACAGATACCCGAGTACACTCGTACCTTCTATATTTAATCAATTTCAGTCAACTTTAATAGTCTGATAAACGCTCTTGCTCATAGCATGAAGTAAGTTCCAATGTTAATATATTTCCATCTCTTATATAAAAGGTACGTACAGATGTCACTTTCAAAAGTCTTTACCATAGGGAACCCCTATCAAGATTGTCGCTAGCTGTTTAATACTTGGTTAACAACTACCTATCGGATGATTTAAAGATGTATACATTCCTACTAACTATCCCGTAAGTTTATTACTAGGTTTTACAGCTAAATATAATTTTATTAAAATGGTTAAGTAAAATAAGATATATACCATATTAAATAGGTGAGCAATTGTTGCCAAGGTTAGTCAAAGCTTGCACCGGGGGGGGGGGGGGGGGGGGGGGAGGAGTGTCTTTCCTATGGTAAAAACTTTTGAAAGGGACATCCGTACAGGTAAGGTAGTTGGTACCAAGGAACCTATTAATTTAGTTGCCCCAGCTAAAATACAGTGTACTTACGGTAACTAGAACCCACGTCTGGGGTAAAGAGGGACAGTAGGGGTAATAACGCGCTACTGCAATCAACGTTGCAGTACCTCGGCTCCTTAGCGCTTAAGAAATACAAATACGTCAAACTCGGCTCCTAAAACTTCGAACAAGAATGGCGAAGTGGGCAAAGCATCTCAATGCTAGAAGAGGATGCTAATATTTGCTTCTATTCTCTATTCTCTTGTTCTAAGCTAGATTGTTACCCTGCTAGTCCCTAACTAACCCACAATCATGTCCGACACTGCGAAACAAAGGATCCAGGCCCTAGGAAACCATATCTCCATCTCCTCGTCCTCCTCCCCCGATGCTCTCCCAGCAATCAAGAAGCCCGCCGGCAAATCTGCAGGCCCTCGTGTTCAAGGAAAAGTCGTCATAATTACGGGAACAAACTCGGTGCTAGGAATTGGCCGCGCGAGCGCTCATCAGTTCGCCGAGAACGGCGCCAAAGCCGTGTATATCTGCGACTTCGACGACAAGTACCTGGCGGCGCACAAGCGCGAGATCGAGGCATTATACCCTGGCGTCGACATCCACACGCGAAAGTTTGACGCCGCAGATGAGGCGGCTGTTAAGGATGTCGTGGATCACGCGTTAAAGACGTACGGTAGGCTGGACGTATTCTTCGCGAACGCGGGCGTTGTTGGTCGCTATGCGCTGTTCTCGGATGTTAGCAAGGACGAATTCATGCGCGTCTTGGATACCAACGTGGCTAGGTTTGTCAATTCTCTACCATATCCAAGAATAGGCTATATAAGTGCATATGATACATAGATGAGCATGTGCTTATATCAGTGAAATTTCAGCGTATTTCTCGCCGCCAAGTATGCCGCGCCCGCCATGCAGAAGACCTCGCCCTCGAAGCCGACACCATCGGGAAGTATCATCGGCACGGCATCAGTAGCTGGACTGCGGTCTAACGCGGGCACAACGCCATATGCAGCATCCAAGGCGGCAGTGATCTCGCTAGCCCAGACTATTGCCTACCAATTAGCTGGCACGGGTATTCGCGTCAACGCTATCTGTCCCGGATTGATCGAGACGGGGATGACGAGCCGGACGTTCGAAGCTGCGCGAGCTCGTGGCACTGAGAAGAAGATTGGTCAGTTGAACCCGTTGAAGCGGGGCGGTACCGCCGACGAGATCGCCCGCGTCGCTCTCTTCCTCGGTAGTGATGAGTCTAGCTATGTAAACGGCCAAGCGTGGGCTGTCGATGGTGGGCTAAGCGCCGGACATCCATTTGTACCCGGAAAATTGGCTTGATAAATAAGTAAGGTATCTTGTGTAGACAGTTGCATGTTCAGAGGACTTTATGTATGCTATAAGCATTTCGAGACTAAGCGGGTATCTACCTAGGATATAGTAAGAGCAAGGGAAAGTCGACTAAAATAAAAATGCGTAAAACATATATTAACCCTAACAGCGTTGTGTTGGTTACAGAAGAGTGTCGTGCCATGCCATGTCACCCCGTCCGCACCAATTCAAGCTTACCATCCCAATGCTCTCCCGTGCCCTTCGTTCGGATACGGTACTCTTTTATAGCCCCCGCTACGTCTCTAAATCCGGTAGAACTATTTGCTGCTTCTCGGATGGCGCTACTCTTAGGTACTATCATGGCCTCCCACGCCGCGTAGAAGATATAAGTCATCGGCGGCACCCCAGCAACAACATGGTTCGGAGTCGCGGGCCCAATGTTCGTACGGAGGTTTGGATCTTGCACGTTCCACATGTACTCGTTGACGGCGGCGTGCGGGCCGATATATCCTGATCCGATCCAAACAGAGACCGAGTAGAAGTTCCCGCTCCACGAGACCACCGCGTCGACATTGCAGGTTACGTACTCAGAGCTGACGTCCGAGTAAGGGGGTGACTTTAATCGCCCTGAAGTCCATTGCGGGTAGTCCTCTGTAATGGCGGGTACTTTGCTTGGCTGTACTTGTGTTTTCTTCGATGCACTTCTTGATGTAATCCCAAACGACACGTCGTCGTCGAAGAATTTCGACGTACTCTCTTGACTAAAGCTTTCTTCGGCTGGATCGAGAAGCCTATCGAAGTCTACGTCGCTACTTGTTGATATGACGCTATTGCTGTCTGAGAAGTTGGGATCCAGCTCAAGTCGTATATGTCGGAGTCCCTTTAGAACCGACGAGCCACGGCCGTGGAATAAGCTCTCAGCATGTTTAATAGCCTTTTGTTGCACACAGGCGAGGTCCAAAAACCGAATCAGCTGTTCAATTACTGGTCCTGTGGAACGCGCTGGGATATTGGTGAGCGTCAGAGAGGTGATGCGAGGGTTCGTATCGGGAGCTAAGGCCAAAGGATAGGCGCGACGAATATTTCTAAATAACTGGCCTTCTGCTAGACGTGCTGCGGATTTAGATGAAAGTCCTTCCATGGAAATTGACGGGACTTGAGTTACGAGAGAATGATGAACTCTCAGAGACCGGATTGCCGAGGAAATAACCGGTCGGAATAGGGGCGCGGAGCCTGGGAAACCTAGAATTCTTATGCCTTTGAGGGTTTGGCCCGTTTGGAAGTTGGTTGGTGTGTAAAGACATGAGTCACATTCGAAATGTTCGAGTCGTCCTCGAGATGTTCTTATAAGTCGCTCAATGCCAGAGACTGTGAACTTATTCCTGTTTAAATATAGATGTGTGAGGCCAGAGCCCCTGGAATCTAAGCTGCCCGCTGTAGCGGATAAAGATTCGCTAAGCAGCAATCGTTTAGCTGTATTTACATCATCGCGTCTTAGCGGTGCCAGGCCGTCGGGGCGAATGTCTTGCCATTCCTGTAGTTCTGTCTGGTCCGCTCTTCGAGAATAAAAAGGCGAATCTGAAAGATATCTTTCCAAGTCCCGCTCATGTTTACTTCTCTCGGACTCTTCAATGAATTCAAAAGGCCCATATTTTCGACTACCGATGTCTTTTGGTAAGATCAATCTACCCTCGGTATCAAAGTGTGCCTCCGTATGAAACGTAGAAGGAGAGATGCAATGCTCTATAAGGTCATCGATTATTCCATCCCCGAGCTTGTTGTTGCTTAGATCAAGACTCCATAGCTGACGACGGAATGTTCGAAATAGCAAGCTAGCTGTCAGATTGTCCATTTCTCTACCCGCGACCCTCAACACACGGAGTCCTGGAAGCGTATCGGGGTTTAGAGACGACAAGACTGCCGTCTTAACGGAGCCTGGAGTAAATGACATGTCCAAATAGACCAAGCTCCCGAATAGGCCGGAGGTAAAGAATTTAGGTGTAAGCTCATAAGGGCAGCGAGCTAGGTCGAGTAGCTGTAAAGACTGTGACGATGTGCGAGTAACGGTAGCTAAAGACTCGGGATTAAGCTCGGGGTGCCCATCCACGAAGAGACATATAAGACCTGGAAACAGCTGGGGTAGATACTTGAAACTTTCCGAGATAGCTCGTTCGCTGGCTTCCGAAGAATAGAGTCCAGATGCACGTAATGCGAAGCTCCGAAAATCTAAGGAGCGAACGTAATACCGAGTTTCGAGTCTAGCAGCTTTGATATGTCTATTAATAAAACGGCGATACCACGCCAAGTCTAAATCATCGGTATCAGTATAATACATATAAGCTACATGTAAGACGGGAGTTGGTCGTCATGTATCGGTAGGTAGGTATAATTAAATACGAAGAGATAAGACGGAGAAAGAAACCAGGGAAAACCCTAGATGGACTCACCATCATTCGGATGTAGCCCAAGACATCTTATAGTCACCAGAGGATCTTGCCAGAGACGGGGCGCAAACTGGCGATAAAATCGACGGTCTACCAAGCAACATCGAGGCCAATCTTTCACCGGAATATATAATGCGACTAGATCCAACAAGTCCGGAGCGGTGGTTGCGCGTTCGTATGACGGAAGAGTCTCCATGATAAGAAATCAAGCATGGAAAAATAAGACATACCAACGAAAGAAGAAAAGTCTTTGGGCTTGGATTTATAGAGATGAACTTAAATAAAGTATAATACAAGGTAACTATAAAATTGAGAACAGACAAGTTATAATGTGGCGAATATTTTACCATTCAACAGATTGATCATTCATCCTCCAGCTTGCACCGCCACAACACCACCAACTTGGCAGATATTAATGCTGCAACCGGTACACTCATCATCTAAGATATAGTATCACGTCGAAGATCTTAGGAAAATAAGATTTATTAGCTCCAAATGAAGAGATTTTAGATATCAGAGCTGCTTAGGGAGCAGCAAATGCACAAATTTATTTTAGTCTACGCTATCGACGAGTAAAAGAAGTGCCTACCTCCTAGGTAATGTAGAAACAGGGCCTGCGTAACGGATTGGAAGTAAGTTAAGTGTGAGCCAGGCACGACACTATCCATCTCCCCAATATCCCCCGGTATTAAGAGTTCAGTTATCATTGGACACTTCAACTCTTTCCCGCGTCCTCCTTTAATGCCACGATTCTATTAAGAATGATATGGTCGTCGGTCGAGTCAGAGTCCATCGCGAAGTATGCGATGCGCATCGCTTGGAAACGGACGCTCTCAGGTCCTCCTTTACCAAGCTCGCTCTCACCCGCTGCTTCAGGCCATGGCGCCCTCCTCCTAACCTCATCGAATCCAGACTCGACTAAAGCGTTCGGGTAGATTACCTCGCTATCCGGGTTAATGTCGTTTAAGAATCCTCCTGATGCCTCATTGGGGTTGTCGGACTTGAACAGCGAGTTGTAAATTCTGACTTCCGCTTTCCGTGTACCAGCCGCTTCTGTCGGAACCCATTGGATATACGCCTTTGGCTTCTTCGTCTCCTTGTCAAATACTGCCCGAATTTCGGTAACTTTTCCTGTTGCGTCGTCTTTGGTGAACGACACTGCCTTTATCGGATGTGGTACTTGAAGAAGTCCGACAGTCTAGGTCTCGAGTCAGCATTGAAACACTTCTGCGGAGATTTGGAATAACTTCTCACCTTTCCGGGAGCAAGGCGGAAGAATGATGGATCTGCGTCCTCTCTGAAGTCCGAGCGGTCAATGTAAATAGTCTTGCTAAATGTGACATCGTGGGAGCCCATCTTAGGATCTTTTGGACTAAATGGAAACGCAAGACCCTTCCCGTCGATATCGTCGGCATCTTCGATGACTACAGGAATGGGATCCAAAATAAGCATCAACCGCGGCACCGTTCGTTCCAGGTACTTCCTGATAGCTTGGTCGAAACGCTTGATTTCAATAACGGAGTTTGCAGTTGTCACGCCAAGCTCGTTGACGAATTCTAGGATAGCGCCAGGTGGAACACCTCTTCGCTTGATGCCGATTAACGTATAAAGACGAGGATCATTCCACCCTCGTACAATCTTCTCTGCCACGAGTTTCAAGATTTTGCGCTTCGAAAGGATCGTGCCAGAAATTGAGAGTCTACCGTATTCTCTGTAGGTGTGTTAGTAAGTTTCCCGAGACAGAAAATGCTTAAACAAAAAGGTCTCCTGAATAAAACTCACCTTTGCATCGGTTCGTATACTCCAAGGGTCTTATTTAGCCATTCGTAGCTGACTCGACTTTGGACTTGATTCATAATTGTTAGTAGTTGGTAAATTAGTATGTTAAGCACCAAGCAGATAGCTAGGACCTTAACGTTCGTCGCGTGCGAGATTACGTACCAAATTCCGTCGTGCATAGAGAATGAGTCTAGGTAATATGTAAGTAACTGAAGTTGGCCGGTGATATTCATGTACGGATACTCACGATACCCTCAAATGAATCGCACAGACAGTGTGTAAAGTCGTAAGTTGGGTAGATCTTCCAGGTATCTCCGGTGCGATAATGCGGTTTCTTCAGGCCGAGAGTCAGTAATTATGACCAGTCGTTTGTATGAGATTAGGTAGTGGATTGGAGGTCTTTAGTATTCCAAAACCCCCTTGAATCGCTAGCCGCTGGAAAGATTCAACTTACATCAAGGACTCGGTAAGCTGCTAGGTCCCACATTTGCGGGTTGCCATCTGTGATGCTGTGGTATGTCAGCTACTATACGTATCGCCACTATGTTCTTGATGATTATCTCACTCTGGAGAGATGTCAGCATGATCTAAGACTAATATTCTTGGTAACTAGCAGACGAACCTTGCTTCATCCTGAGGAAGGCCTCCTGAGGCTTGTACTTTCCATCTCTCATATCCCTAAATTTCTTCAGATTCTCCTCGGCGGGTTGCTCGGCATGCTTGCAACGGTAACGCGGACCAGCAGTTCCCTTTTCGCCGCCGCGCTGAAGTTTAATCTCGGTATCGCTACACTGGCAGACATAGGCTTTTTCGAGTCCTATTAGCTTCTCGGCGAGGTCGTAAAGCTTCTGGAAGTTGTCTGACGAGTAGGTAATCTTGTAGGGCTTGAAACCGAGCCATTCTACCATCTCAAGAATAGCATCGAAGTAAACCTGCTCCTCGGCCTCTGGATTGGTATCGTCGTAACTATCGATCGAACGAGGTAAGTTCATGGAGCGATATTCCTTAATTTTGACATATTTGCTCGCTTACCGAAGATAGCATTCGCCTCCGTGGTATCTAGCAAAACCAAAGTTCACTGCGATGGCCTTTGCGTGTCCTATATGAAGGAAACCGTTCGGCTCGGGAGGGAAACGGGTGAAAACAGGTTTCATAGGTCTGATCTTGAATACCTCGTCAAGAAATCCGGTCTTAAACATATTATTAGGATCGATTGCTGGTTCTTCTGTGGTCGCTTTGGGCTTCGGTGTTGGCTTGGCTTTCTCCTCGCTCTTCACCTCACTCCTTGCAGCTTCCTTAGCCTTAGCCTTTTCGCGCTTCTTTAATCGTTTCTTCATTTCTGCCTTAGAGACCATCTCCCCCGTCTCCTCGTCCAGCTGCAGCTTAGCAGTGCTCTCTGCTAGGTCCGCCATGGTTGCGACTACTTTATCCTCGCGAGAGTAATTTCAATGATCCGACTGTGAACCTATGCTAGGCTTAGATTCGGTGGTTAGTTTAGGAGGTTGATTTTTAATTCTTGATGGATCAGTTGAAGAGTCATTCTGCCCCTCGTCTAAAAAGTACCTCCTATGAGTCGACAGGTGAAGCAAATAATCCCGATAAGATAAGCCCCTCTTAAGTGGGTAATGATAGGTACCTCTTAGTCGATCCATTGAAGTATTGAATTAAGAGTGGCTTGCTCTGATTGGCGGATAACATGAAATATGAACTTTTTCGGCAGGTATCCCCATGAGTTTTAAGTTTATCAGCTTTCAACTTCGAATTATAGTCATTTGTTGATATTCAGATAAGAACGGATAATATGAGACTTAAGAATCATAAAAAGGATTAGAATAGGGAGATTTACAAAATACTACGCACGTGTTTCATGAACAATTCATTCAGCCTAAAATATTATCAATTTCTACTATCCTATCGTAACACGAGATATATCTATAGAACTGTCAATTTGTGAAGACTTGGGTCCGAATTTTCCATATAGTTAAGTGAAGAAAGTAATGATGCTAATCACTTTAAAATCATAAGTGGCTAAGAGGGCTTCCCTTTCCCTTATTTTAAGGTAAGAGGTACCTAACTATAACCTTGTTATAACAACTAGCCATTTGACTTTTACGGTATGCTAAAAACAACGCCGCAAATATTATAATTATTTAGACTACGATGCCACTGTAGTCTATAACATTGGGAGCAGCTATGACTAAGTTACTAAGAGGTAATTAATTTAATTATTTAATATAATTTATTTTCGAAGCGTAGTTCCTCTTTATTGTGCTGGTTACCATCCCCGGTGGATACTGATAGGTGTAAGCCTCAACTTCCTAAACAACAATCGAAGTATGTTAACAAGAGAATACTAAACACTCGCTAAACGCCTCCATCAGCATGGATACATATCTTAAGTATATCAGACTTGGTCATGGTTTAGATAGCGATAGGCTTTAAAGGAGAACTCGCTAAGTTTATGTAGGTACCGTTAGTTTTGTCTTACTAGAAGACATTTCGACTGAGGTGGAACCGTCAGTGAGGTTACATACTTGGTGTCTCACTTTATCTGAGACTTTCAGTCAGTCCATCAACCTTTTCTCCGCGGAATATATTCGAACAAGAATTGTAAGGTAATCAAATTCATGCATGAAGTATAGATAACCACAATTTAATCATTATAGTTTCCTTCCACTAATATTTTAAGACTTCGCCCGAATCATAAATTGATTGTTTATTAAAATAATATCAGACAACTACCTTCATTTATATCGTTACATGGTAGAACCCTCTGTAAATTAGGGACTTATGTACCTCTTAAAACTATTGTGCTTCCTCGATAATTAGGCTAGTTTAAGAGCAGTAGGTTTTATGCACTTGAGCCAAGCCGTAATATTAGATTAGCATGGGAAATTCCTTAATTGTTGAGTACATCTGAACGATTTCTGGAGCATTAGGGATAAGTGGTATGGCATGTCTTTCATTCTAGTTGACTATATCTAATGTAGTCTGTAACAACAAATTATCCACTTACCTGCTTATTTGTAGGTACCCATGTGATCAGTCTAAGTTCTGTTGAGCTACAGCCCATCTCCGTATTGGCTATAAAGTGCTGGAGAGACTTCCGCCGGAGGCGTTGTTCCCCTGTCAGCGTAATATTGCTTTTTAGATTGATAGGCTAGAATTCGGAACTAATTTATGTGACACATATTCTTGGGACCATCTAACGCAGTGCTAGAATCCGAGACATCTTGGGGGAAGCGTTTTTAGTACGGCGATGTCGATTATGTCATTGTTTTGGATGACGCGCATGTCCTCGCCATTAGAGCCAAGTTGTCTTCTGATTCATATCCCGAGTCTCGGCCCGTCGGGATGTGACTTGGGATTTTAATGGAATGGATTAGCTAGTGTATAGACTGCGTCTTCGCGACAAAGGCATGTCGTGACTTGATGATCTTGAATAAGCATGCCCCCTACGCGTTGTATGTTTTGTCTTACTATGGTACGCAATATAGCCTTTTATTATGTAGGTTCTAACGCTACTACCCTTGTGACCATGTCAGAGCTAATAGGACTCAAGTCATAATTAATGTTATTGCTGATAATATATTAAAGATTCAGGTATCTACACTCTATTCTATCTACCTAACGGTTTGTTGGTTTCAGGAGAGGATATCCAATGTAGTATAGCCCAGCTTCCTAAAGCTTTAGCTTTAATTTGGACAAGATGGAAGCAATATCATAAGCTCACACCTCTAAGAAGTTTATAGTACTTGTCGTTGCAACCCGGTGGCAGGTTCATCAAGGTCATTGCTTGCAGCTCCTTTTCTACTAGCAGTATCATTTCTAAGACTCCTATGTACGACAACTATCATGTGGAGACGTTAAAATGCATCTCTATGTACCTTCAAGCGCTATGATGTGAAAACTGTCAGTTTATCACTTGTTGGGATGATAATACAGTGCTAATAGGATAATGAAGTTTCATCCGTATCCATATCCATATCTCATCCTACCACTCCACCCGGACCCAGTTAACAACTTAGACAGTCTTTATCGTAGCATATCCTGGCGGTATACCAACGCTGATATCGGGCATAATGTGCGCAACGACATTTATCTCATTAGCGCTATAACCCGTGGGGTACCTTATATCTAAGGTATATCCTCGACGTACAGATACGTTTCAGAGAAAGCAATATGGGTCCGGGGATATTCGGCAGTGGATGGTGATACGCACGTACTCCAGTCTTTATCCTCGTTGTCTATCTGTATGTACATTAGCAATGGCACTTGGGCCGGGATAAGTTGTCGTCGGGTCCCCATTTTGGTTGTAGTAGTAGTCAAAATGCATGGATTACCTTAGGTACATGTCAACTATACAAATTAATTGGATGATTGGACAGTAAGTGTTATGTAGCTCTCTTGATTGTACTGCAGTAGTTAGCCACCATAAATTCCTTTAATGATAGCCAAATAAGAGAGGAACTAAGGTCAAGATTATCTGGGAATACGAGAAACGGAATACTTCCAATCCGAATAGTAGTACTGACAAATGGGCCGAGTGATAGATATGAATAGAAAGTGACCGCAATTCTAAACAAGCTGGTGGTAACGTATCTTCGGTTCCGAACTAATCTCCGTACGGAAAAGTTTGCTAAAGGAGAGGGGCGTTGTTGGGCAGCGGAGCATCGACGTTGTACACTAGTCATCGTACCCCCATATCAGTACCTTCATAGCCACGGTCGTACGTACTCGGAGTTTAGATCTTTGATAAATTGTTGCCCGGAGGCCTGATATTCTACGAAGAAACATATAGTGGTTGTATTCTCCAGGTATGAAAGACGAAGCAAAAAGAACAATCAAATAAGTTTAGCAAAGTCCGTAATTAGCTTGAAGCTGCGTCTATACGTAATCTATGGCGGTGACGAGATTAATCTTTTTTTATCTGTTGGGTCTTTGAACAGAAGCCGTTGGCAACATCTTCGTATTCTTTCATTGTACCTATGGTATCTGGGAATCTGATAATCTTAGAATATTAGAGCCCTACGGAGTTATTGATTCTGGGGCCGAACCAGAGGTACGGGTCAAGCTCTAATCCACTCACTGCCTCGTTCCAACTTATCTAAGAATCGTCTCTCGAGGACAAAGCACAGCTAAGTACAGGTATGTGGTTGGCTGCACTGTAGATACCCAAACATTACCTTCATTATTATCCATCTAGCTGGGTAAGCTACTGCAGAGCAACGTGGTCTTAGTTAGTACTTCAATATCAGTTCTATCTAAAGGGGGGCTCATGTAAAAAAAAAAAAAAAAAAAAAAAAAAACAAGATGGCCGGCTATGTACGCATATTGCTTGGACCCCTTTCATTTGTTGTCCCGTGGTCCTCCTAGCGTATCGTTCTGCTGCGAGGCTGTAATCTCAGAATGGTACATAGGTCCCTGCTTTCGACTCGGAGTGATCCTCACAAGATCGGCCCGTGGCTGACATGTTCCGCTCACCCTCCTCGCGGAGAAGCTCATTTCCGGTGTTTTACTTGGGAAGACGCCAGTGTCAGCCATATTTCCCTCTATATAGAACTGTTGAAGAGCAGTTGTTTCTTCAGACTTTGATTGATTCAATATAATCTGAGTCGTTTATGCCAGTATGCCCGACTGACGTGACGTGATGTGCATGGACACTTTTTGACGCCTCATCTGGGGAATGCGATAAGTTGGCGATCGCTGAAGTGGACTTATTCAGACGCATGTTGGTCGGTGTCTGGCAGCAGGGTCTGGTTTGGTACTACCCTCGACTTTAAATATATCCCATACCATGCAGTTGGTGGTGGCAAAGTTGGTGTTCCCCCATACCCCTATGGCCAATCGTATAGGTGGTCAATCACTACGTGACTGCTTTCTCATGCGCATCATAGGCATGTAGTCACTTCACATAATGGATTTAGATTGAGCCTGTGTTTACCCTCCCTAGATCTCCGGCATGGAAGTCCTACCAAGTATGCTGGGCATATTTACACAACAATGAGAATAGAGTATTAGATGTATTAGGAGGTAGATATTAGTGATATTAGTGTACTCGAAATTAGATGATATTACTTACACGTGAGGCATCCTGCATCTTGAAAGAGTACTTAAATCCTATTGATTTAATAGAGGAGTTATTGTCGATTCGGAGCTTATTTAGAGCATCGCCGTTAGATGTCTCGGCCATATTCATCAGATACGCGCATCTACACTCTTCGAGGTGAGACATATTTACTGGTGTACTTGTCATATATTAGTCTTTTGCGGGGTAACAGGTTCAATTTTGTACAAGCATGTCTGCTGGAAATATTTCTGTGAGAAACTTGATTTCTAGTACCTATGGCTTTGAAGTTGGAAGATGAGAGGGAGAGAGAAAGAGAGCAGAGAGACAATAACCCGAGCTCCA